ACCACCACCCCCTCAGCACTTAAGCTTCTAACCCCTCCCAACCCGTCCCTCATCTTTTCCTACAGCGATTATTTTAAGTGAGCGATCAGCTGTTAATTTTAATTGTGTTCATTTAGTTAATTTCAGATAACTTACAGACAGACTCAGTGGCACAAAAAAAATTTTACTTTTGAAATTATTTCAGCATCACTCGGTGTTTCTCTTCATCTGAATCATAATTAACCATTAAACTGCTGGAAGAAGTGAGACTCACGTGTCTTACTGCTCATGTCTGATCAGGAAATATTTGATCCACCCAGTGGGTCTAGTAAACAAACCGTGAACGTGCATTACTCCCAGATTATTTACACCTGACTTGAATAAACCACCCTAAATGAGCGCGGCTTGGTGTTACAGCAACAGATTACAGCTGTTTACAAGATGAAGGCTAGTTCAATCTCGGCTTACAGCTCATATCCTGAATTTAGAAATCTGACTTTTGTGCAATAGGCCTTCACTCAGTTACCATTACTGACCAACCTGCCACTCTTTGTTTATGTATTTGTTTATGAGTGTTTGTTTGTCTATTAATGTTTGTTTATCTGAGTGTTGTTTTTTTATTAGTGTTTATTGTGTTGGTCATATTTTATTGACTTTGTTTTAATTGTAGAAACAGTAATGGGCTAAAAAAATATTCCTTTTTAATCGGATTCTGTCAGGATTTGTAAATATAAACACAGTCTGGATTTGTAACCGTAAACACAAACAGGATTTTGTAAATATAAACACACACAGGATTTGTAAATATAAACACACACAGGATTTGTAAATATAAACACACACAGGATTTGTAAACGTAAACACAAACAGAGGCCTATTGCGGGAAACTAACCCGGGATTAACCCGGGATTTTGGTGTAAACCTGAATTAATTAAGCCTTGAATCGGTTGCATTAACTACGAAGCACTTATGTTTCTGTGGTAACAAGTGCTCTGAAACTAACCTGGTCCCGAGCAGGTTTAAAGTGAAGTTTATTTAATCTGTTAATATTTTTGAGCAGTAGAGTAATTTTACTGCAGAAAAATGTATCTCTAGCCAAGTTTTAGAGTCTTATATCAGGTAAAAAGTACTTTTGATCTTGTTCTAGACTGAGATACTAAAGATCAGAATATGTTGGATTATTAATCTTGTTAATCTGAAATGACATCTGGACCTGGAGTCTTCCTGGCCTATAATCTCCTGAAGAGCTGACACATGTTCTCACAGATCCTCCACATTACTGGGGGAGAAGGTTGGGAGGAGCAGAGGCGAAGGGGAGACTCACGGAGCTGGTAACATTATGGTACAACAGCAGCAAAACGCATCGATTCTTAAACTTTAACAGAAATAGCAATTAAGTTTTTATAGTTTTATTTTTTAAGAGCATGGATTGGTTGAGTAGCTTGAAGACGTCCCTGGGGTCGACTTTGCAAACTGTCCAAGCCTGGTTTTATTTTGACCTGAATGTTTTCTGCTTCAGGAACAAGTCCGCTCAGAAAAAATAAAACATTCGTGAATTTATATTTGATTGTAAAATGTTTGAAACATGAATAATGTGATTGTAATTGTTTTATGTAATTATTAAAGTGTTCAAACTTGCTGTTTGTCATAAAAGATCCAGTTGATTTCAGTTAAAAGCCTTGTAATAAAACTACTGTAACCTGGGAGCTGATGAGCTACAGAAAGTTGACCAGGTGTATCAAACTGTACAGGACCGTCCTGCAGTTTTCACTCATGTCTGGCTTGCTGTCCATTCTCATCCTACTTGATTTGAGTGCAGCGTTTGACACCATCTGCCATGTCACCCTACTCAACAGACTTTCCTCTATTGGTATCACTCAGACTCCTCTAAACTGGTTTAAATCATATCTCTCCTGCCGCACWCAGTTCATTCGGATCAAAACCTTCTCTTCCCAGCCTTCCTCTGTTACATCAGGAGTTCCCCAGGGCTCTGTCTTAGGGCCCCTCCTTTTCATTATTTATCTCCTTCCCCTGGGCAATATTTTTCRTAAGCATAACATTGATTTCCACTGTTATGCGGATGACACCCAGYTCTATGTTTCCAGTAAGCCCGCCTCCAACCTCCCACCATCCTCGCTTACTGACTGCTTGACTGAAATAAAATCCTGGTTCTCCTCAAATCTGCTTAAGCTTAACAGTGATAAAACAGAGGTTCTTCTCATTGGTACTAAATCTACTCTGGCCAAAATCAAAAGCTTCGGTCTTGAAATCGATAACTGTTCCATTTTTCCCTCCCCTCAGGTAAAGAGTCTGGGTGTCATCCTTGACAGCACCCTTTCTTTCCAGTCTCATATTAATAACATTACCCGCTCAGCTTATTTTCATCTACGCAACATCAACCGCCTCCGCCCCTCCCTTACTTCCCATTCCACTGCCATCCTTGTTCACTGTCTTGTGACATCACGCCTGGACTATTGCAACTCCCTTCTGTTCGGTCTCACCCAGAAATCTCTTCATAAGCTCCAACTGGTCCAGARCTCAGCTGCCCGCATCATTACCAAAACCCCATCCATGCACCACATCACTCCTGTCCTGCAAAGACTCCATTGGCTGCCCACCAAGTTCCACATAGAATACAAAATTCTTCTGTACACTTTCAAGGCCCTTTACAATCTCGCCCCACCATATCTTTCAAATCTTATTCATATTGCCATTCCCTCTCGCTCCCTCAGATCATCCTCTTCCATCCATTTGACTGTCCCCTCCGCCCGTCTCACCACCATGGGGAGCAGAGCTTTCAGTCGCTCTGCTCCCCAACTCTGGAACTCATTACCACCCCACGTTAGAAACATAAAGTCATTCTCAAATTTTAAAACCGAACTCAAAACACACCTTTTTAGATCTGCCTTTTCCACATGACACAATTGGCTTGCCTGATTTTTACATAGATTTTATATAGATACATTGTTATTTATTTATTTTTATCTATTTTTTATTGTTACATTTTATTTGTTTCTGTTACTTTTTACTCTTTGTACGGTGTCCTTGAGTGCCAGAAAGGCAACTTTGAAATAAAATGTATTATTATTACTATTATTATTATGTCCTGGCGTCCCACAAGTTCAAACAATGTCCTGCATTTGACTGATGATTCAGTCATTCCATAATTTGAAATTATGGAATGTCAAAAAATATATATATTTTAAAAAATCAAATGTTATTTAGTGGCTGCAGGACTGATCAAAAAGTAGACAGTGTCAGACAGAAACTGGAAGTTTCAGGGTTGGTGCAGCTGGCTGGGTATGAAGCCAGGTGAATAAGTACTTAGATTTAAGAGCAGATAGATTCTTGAGGATCAGATCTCATGCTGATTTAACCCTGATTCTGGATAGGTATGTCTCTTCCGTCTCCTTAAGAGTTATTTTAATGGCTCCTCTTGATTTTAAAGGGGCAATATGATGTGTTTCTCAGGCATACATTTAAATACTATAACAAAGTATCGCTGTCACCTTTAGCTGTTATTAAAATGCTGTTTTTATGTTTAAATAGAAAATAAACTTATCTTCTCATCACTTGCTCTTCTAAATGCCTTGAAATTGGCCTCTGTCTCTTTAAGAACCACCTTCTGCTTCTGTCCCATCCAGCTCAGTGCCGGGGGGTGGTGGGGGGAGGGTTTGCGCGTGCGCTATGATGCAGTTTACTTGGCATCTGAAAATTAGAGATGGGACAAATGGCTCTTTGAAGGGATCCGGATCTTGGGGAGCTGTTTCATAGAGCCGTTCGATTTTGAACGTATTACATCATCACGTACGGAAATACGTCACCACGTAGCCGTACGTAATGACGTCATTCCGTCAAATGGGTGGAACCAGGTGTTTGTCAAGCGGAAACCCCACTCCCCATTTCACCGTGAGCTTCTGTACTCCACAAC